GTAAAGATTTACGTTAGTATGTATGTATGTATGTGTGTGTATGTATGTCTGTCTGTCTGTCTGTCTGTATGTTTGTAATGGGTTTATGTATGTCGTGTAGGGTAATGTAATGTAATGCATTGTGCTGCAATTTAATGTAATGTAATGTGTGCAATGTATGTATGCGTGGATGTATGTATGGACGTTTGGATGTATGCATGTATCTTATGTATGTATGTATTGTAATGTAATGTGATGTAATGTCACGTAATGTAATGTAATGTAATTTATGTATACTGTATGTATGTATGTATGTATGCATGTATGTATGTATGTATGTAATGTATGTAGTGTAGGAATGTATGTATGTATGCACGCATGCATGTAATGTATGTATGTATGTATGTATGTATGTATGTATGTATGTATGTGAGGATGGATGGATGGACGTAAGTCATGCATGTATGTATGTATGTATGTGTGTGTATGTATTTATGTATGCATGCATGCATGTATGGATGTATGTAATGTATGTTTGTATGTACGTATGTATGCAGGCATGCATGCATGCATGTATGTGTGTATGTATTGTATGTATGTATGTGTGTATGTATGTATGTAATGTATGTATACATTGTGCTGTAACGTGAATGTATGTGATGTATGTATGCAGGTATGTAGGTGTGTGTGTATGTATGCATGCATGGATGTATGGATGTGTGTATGTATGCAATGTATGTATGTATGTATGCATGAATGTAATGTATGTAAGCATGTATGTATGTATGTATGCATGTATGTATGCCGTGTATGTATGCAAATATGTATGTATGTATATGTGTGTGTATGTATGTAATGTAATGTAATGTAATGTGATGTAACGTACTTTAATGTAATGTAATGCAATGTGTGTATGTATGTATGTATGTAATGTGTTTATGTATGTTGTGTAGTGCAGTGTAATGTAATCCAATGCAATGTAACATAAGCATTGTACTGCAATGTAATGTGATGTAATGTATGTAATGTATGTATGTGTGGATGCATGTATGGACGTATGGATGTATGTATGTATGTATGTATGTTATATATGTATGTAATGTCATGTAGGATAGTGTAATGTATGTATGTGTAATGTATGTATGTATGTATGTAGTATGTATGTATGTTATATATGTATGTAATGTCATGTAGGATAGTGTAATGTAATGTATGTGTAATGTATGTATGTATGTATGTAGGTATGTATGTATGTAGGTATGTATGTATGTATGTATGTAATGTGTGTATGTATGTATGAATGTATGTGATGTATGTATGTATGTATGTGTGTGTGTATGAATTTATGTATGTATGCGTGCATGTATGTTTGTATGTGTGCGTACTGATGTATGTATGTATGCATGCATGTATGTATGTATGTATGTAATGTATGTGTGTATGTATGTATGTATGTAATGTATGTATACGTTGTGTTGTAACGTAGTGTAATCTAGTGTAAGGTATGTATGTAGGTATGTAGGTGTGTGTATGTATGTATGTATGCATGCATGCATGGATATATGTGTGTATGTATGTAATGTATGAATGTATGTACGTACGTCTGTATGTATGTATGTATGTATGTAATGTATGTGTGTATGGATGTATGTATGTATGCATGCATGTAATGTATGTATGTATGGATGTATGTATGTATGTGTGTATGTGTGTATGCGTGTATGTATGTATGTATGTATGTATTGCATTGTGTTGTATGTATGTATGTATGTATGTATGTATGTATGTATGTATGTATGTATGTATATAATGTATACCTGGTGTTGTAACGTAATGTATTGTACTGTAATGTATGTAGGTTTGCAGGTGTGTGTATGTATGTATGTATGCATGCATGCATGCATGCATGGATGGATGGATGTATGTATGTATGTGTGTAATGTATATGTATGTATGTATGTATGTGAGCATGCATGCACGCATGCATGCATGTAATGCATGTATGTGTGTAATGTATGTATGTATGTATGTATTTATGTATGTGTGTAACGTATGTATGTATGTATGTATGTATGCAGGTAAAGATTTACGTTAGTATGTAATGCATGTAATGTATGTATGTGTATGTATGTATGTATGTATGTATGGTATGGTATGGCATGGTATGGTATAGTATGTATGCATGTAATGTAATGTATGTATGTAATGTAATGTAATGTAATGTAATGTAATGTAATGTATGTATGTATGTATGTATGCATGTATGAATGTATGTATGTATGCATGTATGTGTGTACGTATGTATGCATGCATGCATGCATGCATGTATGTATGTATGTATGGGGCCCTGCCTGATAGAGAATGTCAACGATGCGCAAACAAAGGGGCCCGCGCTTATTCAGCGCTACCTGCTTTGCAGCAGGGTTCTAGCTTAGTTTTCAAAAGAGGGGTCCTGCACCTTTCGGTGCTTACCACCTTTCGGTGGGGCCTTATTTTGTTTAACCCTGCCTCTTCTTCCAACGACAGTCCTTAGAGCCTTAGTAGTGGGTGCCTGACAGGTCCTTAGCACACAACCCAACCCAGCCAACATGCCCATTAAGCCACAACCCACCAAGTCCACTTTACTTTCAGGATGAGGGACATTAATCTGTTTACTTGGTTAAGTCCTCGATTTGTGGCCTGCCCTCACCCCCCCCCCCACAAGAAAGAACATGTGGATTACTGCAAATACAGCTTGAACTACAGTGGGAAGCAAATGAGGTTGTGGGCTAAGATTGAACCATGGAGACCCAGACCACTATGCAAAGGGATTGTGGGAAGGTGAGAAATGGGAGACACCTTGAAACTGCTCAACAGCTGCCTTGTGGAAAAAAGGAGGTTGTGGTGATGGATGCATGAAGCATAAGCAGAAAAAAACTATACAAAAATACCGACTGATTTGAGTAGTGATTTTTTGTTATATATAGTTTGGACTGAAGCATCATCTTCAAAATCAATGGGTCTTTGTGTTCAGCCTCTAACAAAACAATGAAACCAGCCCCCAAAACACACCTTTTCAAAACAAAGAAGGGTGTCAACAGGTTTGAGACTAACATAAAAACAAGAATAACAGTTCAACCCCAAACAGTCCACCCCTGGCTAGCCACATTCTTGTTTTTTAGGGGATGGGGGAATGCGCCCTTGAATGGCACTTTTGCATTTTAGGTTGGCTTGTGCTTCATGTCCAGAACTAGACTTAATCCCTGTGCCATGTGCAACAGCTTGTTCTGTGTGATGGTGCGTTTTTGTATTGTAGGGTTGCCTGTGTCATCAAAATAATGAAGACAACTTATGCTCCTTCAAAAGCCAGTTTGAGGGTTCTTGAGCACCCGCCACTTGGGCTTTGAAATAGTCAATGTGCTCCAAACAATGCTATTAGCATAGCTCATCATTCGGACACCTGTCGTCTTTGCTCTGCCGTGTTCGGTGCATGAAGGGGATGCCCAATTCATATCAACCTCACCCACACCAAACTCTTTATAGCCCCAACTCAAATATCCTGATTGACATTAGCATCTTTCAAATCTAGTGGAACCACACTGAAACCCAAACACTATCTGTTCCACTAAATAATTCCCATAATATCATATGAACAAAGCTATTGAGATACTGTTTTTATGTTTACAGTGATGTGTGCAAGGTAGTGAATTGAAAGCATCAATGTAAAACATGTTATTTTCATAGTTTGATAAACTCTGTTTGAACTGACTCATTTAAAACGATTTGATGAGACTTACTCCTGATGAGGTTGCAGGTGATATCATGTTCTGTTTGATATAGTGATTTGTGGAAGATTTGATACATTAATTCTTGAGATGAACTAAGTGTTGCTAATGCCGTCACTCTTTCTGAGAAGAAGGGGCTTATTGAAATTTAAGAAGGTCCAACATTACACCCGTCGTGTGTGACCCTTCCCAAACCCACTCCCCGCTCCCCACTGTGCACCTTGATGCGCAGCTTCTCCATTCAACTTAAAAAGAGGGTGCTCTTCAGTGCTTATGTGTGTGCCTGCTTTTCAGTGGATTATATTTATTGTTTCAGGGTTAATTTAACATTGCCTTGAACTTGGATGAAGTACTTCAAATCATGGGGGCAAGGGGGGCAAGGGTGCCAGCGTGGTGGGAACAAGGTGGAGCCAGGGCACACGCACCTGTCGATGGGAGCCAACATGGGCCAGAAGTCAAGTAAAGCATAGAGCTCAATTAGACCAACTTCCCATCACCTCCCATGTTGCCCACCACCTTCACATGCACACTTCAGCCTAGCAAACATTTTACATGTCAGTGGGCCAAGGCCAGGAGCCAGGAATTAGCCTTGTGGCAAAGTCATTAGGATGTTTGACATGGTACTCATGCAGGTATTCATGCAGGAAATGCCAGCCGTTGAAAAGCACATGTTTTTGAGAACTTCTGCCTTGAATTGCACTGGCCACATGCAGCATAACATTGCAATAGGTTTCAGGGCCAGGGCCAGAGCAAATTTTTACATGCAGTGTGGAAATATTGAGTGAGCTGGCAAATAAGTAATTTATCAGGGCGGAAGTTTCTGCTGTCATATGTTTTTTTCCTAGGTTTTCCCTAACTGCCACTTCTCCATGAACAAACTGTCACTTCCAATGAACAGGGGTTTTAAGTAAAACAAAAAACACTAAACAGCAAAAGGCGAAAAAAGCCAAGGACCGGATGGCTGGGAGCCAAGAAAATAATGATAAAAAAGTGGTGTGTTTCCACCCCCAACCATTGGGTACCAACTCAAAGCTCGAGGCTCTAGGAGGCAAAGAAGGGGAGAGGGACTGTGGAGTCGCCAAGTTGGAGAACGCGCGTTGGGCGATTTATCGTTTTGCTTGCGCAGGCTCCTTAGCATCACTCAGTTGCACCGTGAGGAACTTGTTTTTGGGCTTAGCAATTTAGAACCTAGCAAAGAAAATGAGAGAAAGGGCCCTCTGAAGAACTGGGATTGCCCCCCTCCCAAGCTATTCACGCCTGAAGTGGCAGCGAGGCAAGGGGTACACCGGCAGCGACGACATGGCTTCAGGCTCAGGGGTTCACTTGGCACATTCGGCCTCCAGCAAACTGCGAACTTTGACTTTTGGTTCAAAAAGGATGAAACAAGCCAGAGAGATGGCCAGAAGGCACTTGACGGGAGGTCTGCGGATTTTGCTCTTCTTCTTTCTCCTAACAAGATGCGCGGATGAAGCAATCTGGGGTTTCCAATCTGGGAACATCAAGCCCTTGCTCAGGTCCCAGGAACCTTATCCTGTAGCACCTGCGCGCCGAATCTTTACCCGTTAGCTAATAAGGCACAACCATGGCAGGCGGATTGGCTACATCCGGCGGATCCGGCTTGCATAAGCCTTCGCAAGTGCTGCACCGATTTTTGCACTGCTCGAGGAACGTGACGGATCAACACGTCCAAAGCTCGAGCATTCAATTCGACCAACGGAGTGGGCGCCGGGCAGAACTGAACCTTGCCTGAAGCTGCCCGCAGAAAACATATTTTGAGCAACGGACAAAGAAACTATGTCTAGGTCCTCCTCCAGTAGAGAGGTTAGAATAAGGGTACCCTTTTTCTTCTGTAGTCTATTTTAGCAGGGGAACCCTCCCTCAAAAAAGGGTAAACAGGGCACTACTGGGGGACCTAAATGTGTTCCAAGGAACAAATGGATGGCCCACCCGATTTTTTGTTGCACTCTGGAGTGGTCCTCCCCAAGCCGGCAAGTAGACTACGTACCAATCTACCGATAACATGTCCCATGACTCACATCCATACCCTCGCAGCTTCCTCCAAATGTACATCAAGGCTGCTCCCCACTGTTTTTACCAATCAACCGTTGTTTTGACAAACCGCTCACATGCCTTCGATGTGTTAATGCAGTTCCCTAGGATCTAAAAACACACAAATCCATGTGTGGCAAAGAGGGAAACATCGACAGCCAGTCCCGAATCAAAAACAAGCAAGCAAGCAAGCAAGCAAGCAAGCAAGCAAGCAAGCAAGCAAGCAAGCAAGCAAGCAAGCAAGCGAGCGAGCGAGCGAGCGAGCGAGCGAGCGAGCAAACACAAAAAACAAACAAACAAACAATCAAACAACCAAAAAAAACAAAAAAAACAAAACAACAAAAATGAACGAACAAACAAACAAACAAACAAACAAACAAAAAACAACCAAATTAAACAAACAAACAAACAAACAAACAACCGAACAAGCAGGGCCATGCGCTCCGCGCTCTATTCTTTCCTCACTCGGTGTCGCGAGGTGGCCGGCCGAGAACCTCCCCTGGCGCGAAATGCTGGGCTGCCAGCCGCTGACGGAATGAGGCACCGGGCGAACACAGAAGCCGAGTACCCGTCTGCAAACGAACGTGGGGCCCTGCGTTGCCCATCAGCAGGAATCCCCAACAAGAGACTGCCGAAAGGACACCAGGGCAGGGGCCATCACCCTTCCAACCAACAGCTTGCCAACAGCGTGCCAGGTTGGAGAAAACCCGATGAAGAGGGAAGTGCGCTACGTGATCCTACCACTGTCACCCAATGCGGTTTGGGCGGAACACGCCGCCTGAGGGCCCAAGAAAGGTAAACCCGATGCTAAATTGCGAGGTCTTTGTCCGTCATAGCAAACTTTGCAAATCTTCCAGCGAAAACATTCAACATCATCCAACTGAAGAGAAACAACTCATCACGTACTGCAACACAAACGATACTTTCAACACAACTACCGAAGAGTGGGTAAATCGAAGCAGATGAACACTTGAGGAGTTGGTTTGGCCGCTTGGCTGGTAAAACCAAGCATACTGGGCAACCTAAAGGTAGACATTGGTGTTGGACAAGCAACGGGAACAAATACCAGCTGTGGTACTGTGCGAGGCGCCTGCAAGCTTCATGTTCATGCAAGCCCTGGATACTTGTCGCCCTGCCCTTCAGTTTTTCTCTACTATGGCTGCGCTGGTCACCACTGGTCATGGGCGCCACCGAGCGCGAAACCCAGCACCCCGCGCACTGCAGCCTTTTTCTTGTGTTTCTTGTGTGGTGGCTGCGGTCTCCGTCCTAAACGTGACCAAAAATAGCAAGAATGAATTGCTAATTTGGGTGCCCGGATGACTCAACTGAGCCACGATCAAAACCCAGTATTCAAAACCCAGTGTTGAAATGGCCTACCCTAAACCAATTCTGGCTGTGATTGTCCCTTGCTAACCTTCATCTGGCTCAACTGCAACTATCTTCATCAGCCCGAACGGCATCGTCCCTTCAGCCAGAACAGCCGCTCAGACTTGGAAGTTTGCGCAAGGTTGGCTTCCATTTCAAAGGGCGGGTCCGTGTTGACTCAGCATAACTCAACCGATGAATGTGCGGCAATCCGCAAAAATAAAGGGAACTAAGCAATGGAAAGGAAACCTTCCGATTCGCATCTGTAAGGGCTTCATTTAATGCCCGGCTCGGATTCATTATTCGCGCGGAAACAGCTGAACAAATCAAAACCGCTTCGTCCCTTTGCCGACTGCGTGACTTACTTTGCATCGCGCGGGCGGCGCTCCGCGTCGTTCCTCGCAAAGGCGGCTTGGACGCGGGCCTAAAGCATAGCAACCCTTTGCCGCCTGTCTGGGAAGATTGCAGGCGTTCTGGAGTGAGACGGTCCTTTCCTGTTGTGGCTCGGCTGTGCACCAAGTAAACCCGCTGTTTTTTTTTAAGAGGGCGACGCGTGCCCAGCTTCTGTGGTTGGGATTTACCACTCAGGTTCCCCTAGCACTGGCTTCCTCTCACTCTGGCCCCCTCGCCCCGACCCCTTAAGGCGAGAAAGTTTCTGCGCGGCTCAAGCGTCACATCGTTTTATTTTCAGCTGGGCTTGGGTGAGGGAAGCCCCTAACTCCAGCTTCCCCGGCTCTACCGAAGCGCAGCAACAAACTGACAAAAGCCACATGGATACATCGCAGTCATCTTCAGAAGCAACCTTGATGCGCCAAGCACGGTGTTGTCAAAGGCCACGGGCAGGGTACTGCATTCCTTCGCACACGGACAAGTCCTCTCCTTTGCTGCCCAGGCATGGCATCACCACGTCTTCTTGGTCACCCATCACGCTGTCAAACGATGGAGGAGCCCTTCTTGTCTCCGATGCAGAATGCGGGTCAAATATACTGCCTTGCTCATGTCCAACTTTTTTTACTTGCATCTCAGCGGGTGTCCTTGTCTAGGAGTGTTGCAATCTTTGTCCCGCATCCTGCAGGAGCCGTGGCAAACAAGGGATTGAAGAACCTCTTGTATAAGGCCAGTTGTTTTGGATTTTGCTGAAGACAAATCTGTCCCTCAGGAAGGGGTTTCTGGCTTGCCTCTGTTTGATTTGCTCTGCCATTGTGGAACAAGACAAGAGCACCCCCACCAAAAAGATCGCTTCGGTTGGACAGTTAGCAATTGCTTCAGCCATGCAACGGCTTAGAATGGAATCACCAGGGGAACTGTGTTTGATCACATTGCAAAAACAGCTGTTTCAACGTCAACTTTTCAGCTTTGCCTGTTGACGTTGCCCCATGCAAAGCTGGGGCTGTCGCACCTAGTCAATTACACAGTCTCTTGGGGACGGCTTACGCTTCCCCACGTTGGAACGGATCTCAGGGAAGAACCGTAGCCTCTAGGACTACAATTTTTGAGCAAACCCCAAGGCTGACAGACCTCAACTGGGAAAACAGGCCACCCTTCATGAGAAAAGACATGAAGCCTCTTCTCCGAACCAGAAGGAAAAGCACAAAAACACGAAACCACTCGCAAGTCAGAGCTCCGGCCGGGAGAAAAAAATATATATAAAAAACAAATGGTCTCTCTCGCCTTTGGGCCAGGCGAGCATCACCAGGCCCGCGGTGACCGTGAGGCCCAGGAAGCTCAAGAGCGCCTGCGCTTGGATCGCCATCGCCCAACTCCAGAGAAGGTACCCCTGTCGAGGGGAACCAGGTCCTCCAGTAACCCCATGTTTTTAAGAGTCAGAGAGACTCCAGGTAGCCACACTCAACCAACTTGCGCATCTTAATCTTTGCCTGTGCCGAAGGTGCAGCCTGTGTCCAGACGGCTCTTTTGTTTAACCCGATTGCGTTTTGGCACATTCCATTCTAGAAAGATCAGGGCTATCTATGGAACTTGCAGTGCAGGATTTCGTGTGGAGATATGCCCAACCAGCTGACAAAAAAGCCCAAGACTAGTCGACCCCATTGTTGGGTCGCGCGGTCAGCAAAAAACACGCACATGGAGATCTCGAAAAAAGGAGGCGATGAATGGTTCCATCGCGCTGACTAAGTCAAGGACAAGTCCATTTAATTGGTCAACACAAAAACACACAAATGAGACAAGCATTTGAGGGTCGAACTGGCCAAAAGAAAGCCAAGATAAGATAAGCGTTTGAAGAGTCAAACCGGGCTAGTTGCCGAATTACGAACACCCCAAACACCGCCAATGCATGCCAACCGTCTGAAGCTTCCTGCTTCCGTCTGTTGGTTGTTGGGCCCGAATCTCACCGCCAATCAAACTTGGCGATATGATTCACCAGGTGGAAACACAAACTCCCTTTGTATAGGAACTTCATAGTGGATGATCTCTCTTACCTTCAGGTGAGTTTGTTCGGAAACATCACCAAGCATCTTTTGGAAACGGAATCAAGCGTGGCAATCCACCCAAAGACGACATACTCACAGCACCCACAACATGACATATGGATGATCGTTGAATACGGGAAACCTCTTCGTAATGGCGTCAAACATGGAAATAACTAGGCGGACTCCCAAGCTGATGCGACGCCAAGCGGCTGAATAACGAAGCTTGCTCCTGCGTGCGAATCTCTCTTGGCAAACAGACACTGTTCGAAGATTCCCAGGCAGTATCCTGGTTTCTGCCCACATCAATATGGCTGTGGGTCAAAAAAAGTGTAACCCCAAAATGGGTTGCCCTGGTAAGTGGCAACATGGACCAAAACCAGCGGTCCATATCCTGGTGGTCTAATTTTGAGCCACACCCATGGCGTGTAGTGGACTCCTGCATTGCTGATTTGCTGACCCATAGTTCGAGGTTGATGCATGTGGCAACGACGCTGGAACTGTCAAGTATGTTGGAAGTGGGTTCATGCATTGAGATGAACCTTAGCGTACTCGACTAGTGCAAGAGCTTGGCATGAACTTCCAATTCTGTGTCTGGAAAGCGGCAGCGATAAAAGCGGTCATTCTGTCTGTTCCCATCGCATGAAGCAAGCACACACTCTCTCACACACACACAGCGCCCGTTTGGAAGACTTGTTGCGGCCCTCCCTCAAAAAACGGTGAACAAGGTGAACAATAGTTGCCATCAGAATCGTATTAGCCACTATGTGTAATGGCGGGTTGTCAGACTTGTTGGTAACCCGCCCATTCACGTCAGACAAGAATGCCGTAGCTCCACACTGTGCCATTTTTGACTCCCCGCCATGTCTCCGCACATCCGCCGTATCTGGCACTTGTGTCCCCAACAATTCCAAACCTGAACTACTAGGTCCTCCAGCAGGCAGAGAGGTTGGAACAATTTTTTTCTGCAGTCTATTTTAGCAGGGGAACCCTCCCAAAAAATAGATTGGTCTTAGGGCACCTGGGGGACCTAGACAGGGATCCTTACATTATACACCTGAACATTGCAACTTGTAAATGGTGGTTTCCCTTTATGTTGGTGTTGAAAAAGCCGCATGTTTCAAATGGCTGCAAAAATCAAATTTTCTTGTAAGGAGCCCTGCTCTTTAGCCTTGGCTCCCCGAATCTGCAAACCTCACCTCGCCTCAACCCAACCGCTCCTCCAGAGCTCCGGATTGCCGCCCTCCGGGGAGCAAGAGCCCGGCAGCCGGTCCCACAGGCCGGAGGCGAGGCAGCTCAGCTCCTGCGACCGGAGGGATCTGAGTTTTGCAGCAAAAAAAATGAAGAGGTACCTGGATCCCCTTTTGTAGCCACCTTTTTTCCAGCTACTCTTGAAAAAAAAATATGGGCTACTAGTGGGAACAGTGGCTGGAAGAAAGTGGCGACTTGGGGATCCAGGTGCTCAACTTACAATCCTGAATCCTGATACTGCTTTTTGTCGTTGATATGAATTCCTTGCCCGAAAGTTGCCGTTCTGAACACTTGGGCCCGGAACGAGGAACAAAAACACCTCCTTCGGGTTTTTAGCGCCGACCGCAGAGGATCGAAGGGCCGAAAAGGACCGGCCGGAACCCGGGAATTTGTTATAGACCTTTTTAATATTGGGAATGTATCACAAGTTGGCCCACTCCCTGCTTGGGGTTGGTCTAGGTGGTTCCTTAGGGAGAGAAAGAGGAGTGGATACATGGATAGGGCACGCATGGTCACACACCATGCCTCTTCGACACTTGCTTCCCCAGCTTTACGCCACTGAAGATTTGTGCTCATGCGGCCAGGTGCTCACGTAGAGGCTTGCCTTCTCAACAACTCGTGCGACGTGTTTTCTGCTTGGAATGCTCCCGATAAAATGGGAGCCTCAACGACCGCAGTTGAGGATGACTGCCAATACGGGAAGCAGGTTTGCAAAACAACGAATAGGCTGGTGGCGATGTATTTCTGGCGACGAGTTTCTGTCGATATATATATATATATGGCGCACGGTCGAAATTACTTACATACTGCCGTTTCGCCACTTAGTTTGAGAGCCCCCTATCGATTTCCAGCGTTTTCATTCTTTTCCTATCGTTTGCCATCGTTGTGTGCATTTGCACAATATCAATGAAACGCCGAATACCAAACTCAACAGAAGTAATTCTGACGGTACTTCATATATATATATATATGTATTATTTTTATTAATTTCTCACACACGTACCCCTAGATCAGACTTGCCTGGAAAACAAACAAACAAACAAACTGAAACCAAATATGCCTACGCAATTCTGCAGACTCGATGCACGCCCACCCCGCCCACCCCCCCTAACCCCCCGGCCCCCCTAAAACTAAAAAAACCGTGCCTGGGTACCCTGAACCCCCCCCCCCCAAAACCCTGAACCAATGAAACCAAACCCCGTCATCCTAAGCCAACCTGCAGACAAATCGAGCAGCTGAATTCACCCTTTAGACTTCGAAAGCCAAGGTGCTGCGGCACCTATGGCGATGTAACCTCAGGCATCGCAACAGTCTATTCCCCTGCCCCCTGAGAAAAGGGACCATTCGGGAAAGGGGACCTGATGTAGCCTCGCCTTAAAAAGGAGAATGCACAAAAGGCAAAGGGGATCTGATGCAATTAGCCTCGCCTTGCTTGCAGGCTTCTCCAACTCATGGAATCTCACCCCAAGCACCACTGATGGCTCTCTGGTTTGTTGAAAGTAATCTGTTCGCGTCCCTACATGATTGCTTCCTAAGCTTCCATGATCAACAATAATCAATCTTTAGCCGAGATTGATTCACCCAAGTTGACAAAATAGGGGATGCTGCATTTAAGAGAGAGGAAACCACGCATCTCATTTTGATCGGGTTGGTTTGCCGGAGATCAAAGGCACAGGCAGTTTGGCTGAAGTGAGCGTCAGCTTGGAATACAGCCTGGAAATGAGCTTTTTCTTGGGCGGGATTGGCGAGCAAGTCACATGTCTGCTCAGGACAGATTCCAAATTGGAGTGTCTTGTGAGGGTACCAGTTTTCGGCATCAGTTTCAAGGGAACTGAAAGGGAAGCCACTGGTGTAGGGGTTCCACTACTTTTTGACAACCGCGAATGGGAAATCCAGGCAAAGGTACATCCTGACTTAAAAAATGCGACGGCGAAAAGCAAGAAAGCAAGCAGCAAGGACTGCAGATTTCAGCCCCATCAGTGGATCTTTCCAGGAAAGCCAACTTAAGTCCAAAATTAAAAGCTTCGCAACGCTCGAGGGCAACATTCTATTCCCCCTCTCCACCCTGAAAAGAGGGACCCCCTTGACGCAATGCAGTGAGGAAAGAGCACCTGATGAAGCCGCGCTTTAAAAGGGAGAATGCCTTAATTACTTTTGTTCTCCTGGAAGGATCGACCAAGGAGGGCTGATTTCAGGAAACACCCAATGTACCATTCCAGCCAACACGACCAACTCCAAGGACAGAGCTTGCTTTTTGAACTGTGCCTCACGAGCATTCTAGGAACACTTGAGTGAGGGCTCCCAAGAATCCCTGTCAAAAGTCACCCCGACATGAAGTTCGACTGAAACTGGCCCTCAAGTGAGGAACGCCGCCACCAATTCACGAAAAACCTGGGAACCAAAAAGAAAGGGCGAACCTAATATTTTGCCCCAAACATCACATTAGGAAAAACGTGTTTTTTGGTTTCAAGCCGAAACATGTCCAACGAGCGACCAACACGGCTTCAGAGATCTCCTGATCTCCCCGCTGGATTTTTTGCTCAGGCGAATCGATCCAAGGGGCCCTGGGTGCACCGCAGGCGCTGGGTGCTGTTGAAGTCCCGCTCCCCAAGCCATGCCCCGAAATCCTGGCGCGGACTGTCGCGGGCTGCGAATCGGCGGATGGCTGCGGGAATTGGTCCGGAGGAAACCGATGGCCCGACTTTCGAGACTGGAAGTTCGACGAGAGCTGACAATTGGACAGGTGCTCCAAGATCTCGGGTTGGCTGGAAAAAACAAAGTAGTGAGACGCATCCGTTGGTGACCGCAGGGGTTCCAGCTCAACATGGTTTTGTTTCGGTTCTATTTGCTTCCCTTTGGTTTTTTTGTGGTTTTTAGGGTAGAATTTCACGCCCGGACGTCCTCGCTGAGCTCGTCACAACGCACCACCTCACAACCCGCGAAGTGGTCCTTGGCCTCAGCTCGAAGCGGCTCGGGGCCTTTACTTCACCAGGGAACCAAAAGGAAACAAAGGAACCATTTCGGTTGGTGGACCATCTGTTTGACTTCATGCGGCCATGAATTTATCAAACTTCGGCTCTCAAAAAATCACGCTTGAAACTATAAGATAAGGGCCAATATTTGTCATAAGTCGATGGTCAGGACTGCTCTGCTCTGGTCAAAGATAAAGTTTATCTATATGGGGAGCCCCGGACATCCCAGCCCCCAACTTGCCCAATCAAAACTGTAAAAGTTTCTGCATAGACATGAATCGCCCCATGAATCGCCCAGATAAATCTAAAGTGCAAAAAAGCAGCTAGAATGCCCCCTAGCGGGCTCACACGCATTTTTGTAGGCCCGAATAGAAACGGCACCTGGCTTGCGTTGATTGGCATCTCCTTCAAGCTTCCGGCTCGCACACCTCTTCCAGAAATTCTGGGGACAACGTCCTCCTTCGCCTCTCCACGCGGTGTGGGTTCTGAAGAAAATCTCGGTCCAAGACCACATCCCTTGAGCATTAAGCAGAAGACTGTGTTATTGCTGGTCCAGAGGGTCCCGAGCGCCTTTGGAGTGGAGGCTGGCTGGGCAGTCAAGTATGGACGGGTTGGTTCAGAAAGGGGGCAGACGGGTCACCAAAGAGGACGAAAACGCTGAGGGAAAATGATTCACTCTCAGATGACGCCGCCCTGGTGAAACTTCCGGCCCAACAGCGGGGTCCAGCTGCAGCTGGAAACAGAGGGTGTTCTTCATCAGTTAGTTGAGTGATAGAGCTGGTGGTCTGCAGAGGGCTCATGAGCGCAGGTGACTTCAGAGGAGAGCCGCAGCGGCTTTATCGTCCACAAGATCAACGAGGACAGTCTGCAGGATCAGCGCTACTTCGGGAATGAGGTGTCGAGTATGATCGCTGGCCCGCGAATGAAGGCAACCTACAGCTACTGATGCAGTGCCTGGAGGGAAGTGGTTGCCGCCTGCTTCTTTTTTCTGCGCTAGATAGGGCTTCTTGGTGTTCACCATATTAACCATGCCCTTGAACCTGCCTGTCAGTCTTCAGCGACTTCTGCGTTGTAAGAAAGTCAGCGAAAAGCAAAGTTCCCCAGGTTTGCAGAAGTGCCACCTCTTGCAGCCAGCCCCGTTCTCATGGCAGGGATGCGCGGGAGGGGTGCTGCATGCCACATTGCCAGCAAAGACCAGGACGCGTGCAGAGGGGGGGGCACGCACGCGACCGAGGTCTGACAAGCGTGAAAGTTGAAAAAAGACACCGGTTTTGGCCTGGTCACTCTAGCTGCAAGTGACAAAGCCCCGGCCTTCGTCCCAGCCACTTTTGAGGAGCTGTGTTGATTGACATGTGGCAGCAAACCTGCCTTGAAGGTGCCGTTTGACGCTTGTTCCTGCTCACATTCCCTGTTCACAGCCTTTCAAGTTCTGAAGACGAGGCGAGTGCTGGCAACCGCTTCTATGTATGCCCAACCTGGCGCCGAGTCAAGACACGTTTTCCTCCAGCTCCTTTCATCCTATTCCACTTCTGTGTGACCTCGCCGCGTGCTGGCCGTCCAGCGCATCAACGCAGCAGTTCTGAAAAGTGGTAAAAGTGCACAGCTGCGCAAGCTTGGTGAACACGCAGAGGAGGAATCTCACACTAGCGATGAAGAGATCGAATCAGTTGAGTTGCATGATGGTTTTGCCTTCCCACATCAAAAGATTCGAGTGCTCCTACTCGGTTGCCAGACGTGGCAGAAAGTGAGAAGAACGTGGTGAATGCGGAGGTGCCAGAACAAGGTGCCCCTAGTGAAGAACAGCAAGAATGAGCACAATCAGAAAAAGCCGACCTGAGTGCTGCGCAAGTAAGGCGTCACACACACACACACATATGGCGGCACAGTTGCAACAGGCGCAGCGTGGGCGAATCAGCCAGAAAATGCCGCAGGGCTGGGCAGGCAACAAAGGCGTAATGGCGCGTTATGACGTTCAAGCCTCTTCGTGCTCCGGCAGGCAGTGCGCATGGAGGTTGCAGGCTGTGCACGGAATGCAGTCAGGTCCAACACGTCAACGCACGCTTCTCCAGCAGTGGACACCGAAGTACTGGCCACATAAACTTCCCGGTCATGTTCCCACTTTCGGCGCAGAGGTTCAGCGCACGCAGTGCGCGGCAGCCTGGACAGAGCACAATAACATGGACCCGCGGAGTCCGCGCAGGATTGTCCCTGTACCCGCAATAAACCAGCTGTCTCTCTGTCCAGTGTAGAGCTTGTCGTTACGGCTGATAACCTGTCAAGAGACGGCAAGGTGACGTCCCGTGGGACGCTGTCCACCGAACCCTCCAGCTGTAAATACCAACCACGTAGAAAGGTGTATACAGTCAAACCGTTATAGCCGAACCCGTGTAACTGTTGTAAGGGAGAAGGAATAATAGTTACAACAGTGGTCCTGACAAATGCAGCGCAAGCGAAGTGTTTTCCGCTCTCAATTGCCGATCACGTATGAACGCAGCTTCACATAAGATCTTGAACCTCACTTGTGACTCCAGACGCACAAGCCCAGAACAGCCGGGACTCCTGCCTGCGCCAGCGCAGCAGCTGCCACAAGGAACTCTACTTCTCTGCGTGCTGTCGAACGCAGGCTGGCAGCAGCTCATGTGGGCAACCTCCAAATGGGCGCAGCGGCAGCGCCCCTTTCCATCACAATGAAGCCACCTCCGCCGGGACCTCCCATGGCTGCGCTTGTCGGAGCAGCACCTCGCCCAGAAAGATGAATCTGCCACTCTTTTGCCCCGCTGCCTTCACGGCGCCTGAGACACTTGAAAACACTTGGGAACACTTGTGAAACCAACATCGCCCATCGACTTTTCTTGCAGCCCTGCAGCTCTTGAGTGTCCTTCAACGCACCAAGTGTCCCAAGTCTTTCTAAATGTCTCAACTGCACTTGGGACACTTGGGAACACTTGACTTGGGACACTTGGAACACTTGGTTACACCTGGGACACCTGGAAACACTTAGGACACTTGGGAACGCTGGGACACTTGGAACACTTGGGAACACTTGCGACACTTGCAAACACTTGGAACACTTGAGACTGGGAACACGGGGATACTGGGACACGCGGGCTTGGGACACTTGGGAACATTTAGGACGCTTGCAAACACTTGAGCCACTTAGGACACTTGGGAACCTTGGAACGCTTGAGGGCACTTGGGAGACTTTGGCACACTTGGGAACACTTGAAAACAAATGGAAACACTTGGGGCACTTTGGGCAGTTGCAAACACTTGTGACACTTGCAAACACTTGAAACACTTGGGAACTTGGGAGCGCTTGCAAGATTTGGGAACACTTGCGACACTTGCAAACACTCGAAACACTTGGGAACTTGGCGCACTTACCACTTGTGGCACTTGGAAACACTTGGGATGCTCGCAAACACTTGAAACACTTGGGAACACTTGGAACCCAACCCCCCCGTCGCGAGCCACACCCCCTCCCCCGCCAAACCTTTCGGCTGAGACTTGGGAACACTTGGGACACTTGAGACACTTCTTCTATCGGGTTGGGCGAACCTATAGGCGTGATCACCTCCAAAGGGCCCAAAAACAGCCAGACTGCCGACTTCTTGTACGAGTGTCGGCATTCCCGCCAAATCCACCTGCCCGTTTCCCCCGAAGTTCAGCTGAACCGTTCCCCCACGCCCCGTCGCCCCGTCGCCAGCCGCCCCGAAGAACCTTGCTGAGGACTGGGCGCTCCAGGCGTCCCAGCCCACGCACTTCACCTTCCAGGTGTTCTCGGAGCGGTTCAGCGGGCGCCAGCCCACCTGACACGTCACCTGGAAATCCGATCCGAGGCGCAGAGCGAGGCGCGCAGCGAGGCGGGTCTTGGCTCGGGGCAAGTTGCAGGTGACTTTGTGGGTTTTGAACGTGCTGGTTTGCCCTGATCACCTGCAACCAGAAGCAATGGGTTTAAAAAACAAAAGATGGTCTCCTTGAAGCACTGGCAACCAGAAGCACTGTTGTTTGCTAGAAATGAAGCCAGGGAATACGCGACTCAATCATCTCACGGCTTTCGGGCACCAGCCATACCCTTGTCCACGCCCGGCGAGGTTCAGGGGCCAGGCCAGGGAGAAGCCAACGCCAAAAAGCTCAAAGGTAATGGACGGAAATCGTAAGCCGTGTTCGTAAAACAAAGCAAGCAAAGCCTTCTCTTTTGATGATGTGTGCTGCTCAGAGCATTACAAGACTCAGGGGCGCAGAAAGCTTCCTCGTCCACATGGTAAACCAGGCAAGTTGTGTAAGTGGTGCATCCAGCACAGTCAGGGGGCAAGGCTTCCGCACAACTTGGGTCAGTCAGAGTGCGCGATTGGATTTCCACCAAAGGCCCCAATCAAAGGCCCCAACAAGATGGCTCAGGGATAAAATCCCACGAGTCGATCCTATTTCCATGCACCTTCTTTGGAGTGTCCCCAACAAAACAACTTGAAAGGATCATCCCAGGAGCACCGTTAGAGGGCCTTTGCAGGTTGTTTCCTAGATCAGGCATCACAGTGTTGCCGCATCCCCATGGCACACCGAGCTCCTCGAAAACCGCCTTTTCCCGACGAACCAGCTCCGCCGTGGCATGCCTGACCTGCATGTTTTCAGCTTACTTTGCTTCAACTGTCTATCATCTATCTTCTTCCACAGTGGGGTTGGTCTTCAGCCCACACGCAGAGGATCTGCAACCAAACCTTCTAGGTCCTCCAGTAGAGAGGTTAGAATAAGGCTACCAACTTTCTTCTGTAGTCTATTTTGGCAGAAAAAGAAAACCTCCCCCCAAAACGGGGTGAGAGGTCGGCACCCACCTGGACCTAGGCAACCAAACCTTGCCAACCCCGAGCTTCCAGCTTTCTGGGCGCGGTTTTGCTTGCGCCTCCATCATGGTGCCGGATTTGAAGGGCGCAGCGGCGGCTTGGCCCGGCTTGGCTGGCTCAACCTGTGCGCTCCCCATTCCACGCTTTGAAGATAGACTTCTCTCAGGGGGTCTCCTTTTGCGGGGAATGAACCACCCTGGCTTCAAGGCTACCCTGCAGTCGTCAAAAAGTGCACCACTGGCGCGCAAGAGCGCGTGGCTGTTTCTCCCAACGGCCTTCTGGGAGGTTCATCCTGAGGCACCCAGACTGGGCTTTGTTGACGATTTGCCATGCCCCTGAATTCGGAAGAAACCGCCTTTGTGAAGAATGTGAGCCCCCAGGATTCAGCACGCCCAACAACGTCCGCAAGCTTCGTAAGCGTTTTGCTGCTTACTGAGTTGATGGACCTGAACATGGTATTTACATTCCCATTCATCTCCCAATGATTCAAACGCCACGCCAAAAGGTGTTTTTTTTGGTCTATAGCTGAATTCCAAAGCCCCATCAGCAATTTGAATAGTTGTCCAAAAGACTTCGCGAAGCGTGAGACACCAAACCTAATGACCACCCTCAAGCCAGTGCACCCGAGCAGGGGCGAAGGGGGGACACGGATCAAGGCCTTTAGAGTGGACAGGGCTCCAAAGAATTGGAACTCCAAACAAATCTAAACATGTTTGACTCAAGGCATTTTCGCATTATATGGATCTTCCAAGGTGGCTTCCAGGCTCGAAACACTTTCCCCAAACGAAATTTGAGCCATATCATCTTGAACATCGGCCAACGCACCCACGCATTCCCCTCAGAACAACCTGAATTTGAATTGTGGGCCTGACTTCTTTCAAAAGGTGGGCAAACTCTTGTTTGCTATTTCCTAGTCTGTGCGGGGAACCAGGGATATCCAATTCGTCCAAACCGAAGCGCAACCAGGAAACAGCACGGTCTAAGCTTGAAAGAGCTTGCCACTGACGTTTGCTTTCCTGGAAAACCATCACGCCACTACACAAAGTGCGCAATTAGCCATATATTTAGATACCCTTTGCTACCCGAGGGTGCGGGCATCTCAGCCTTTTGACAAACTCAAAGGCTGAATCCATGCGCCCATTTTGGAACTCATAACTATGTTGGGCCCCAATTCAGTGGCTCCTCTTGGCTACCCATTCTGAGTCAACCAGAGGTTCATAGCAGAACCAGAGATTCAAGCAAGTGCCACAGTTTTTCAGGCTAGGCTTGGTTTAAAGGGAAACCAACAGTTAAAGCCACTAGGCCGGAAGCCTATTCTAGGACATACCCAAAAAAATGTGCTTTTTTTCCCTGGTCGAAACCAAACCGCGGCTTGCCGCTTGCCCCTTCAGCCAGGCGGCTCCTTCCGGCAACTGCTCACACAAGGCGGTCCCTGAGGCAACGTGGAACCAACGGCAAATCCACGCGGGGGGGTGGGAGGCGGGCGGAGAGGGGGGAGGGGGGGGGAAGGGGGCGTGAAGCGTTGTCCACATAACCCTGAAACAACAAGCTCCAGCAAGGGGAAAATCAAGAATCAAGGACTGGTTGGAAATTGCAAGGCTTGCCAGACATGGCCATCGACCATGGGCTTGGCATTTGAAATCCAGTCGTTTGTGGCCTTGTGCTCATTGTCTGGAGAAGCGATCGACATCTTCGCCATTCTTAGAAGCCCTTTGCACTTTGCTTGTCCAAAAGACAGCAACATGACAAAAACAGAAATAGAGTCACACACACACACACACAAATTCCCCTGTTCCATGGTGCAACACAGTGACGTGTGTAGCTGTTACGCAGAGGTGGGAAAATGATCCCCTTTCTTTCGTAAAGAAAGATCATATGAACTGCTGGAGAAGAAATGCCAACCCCTTATTATGTAAAAAGTAAGTCGATTCCCTTACAGCTACACTCTTTGCAAGAATCATCGAAGTGGACACGGGGCCCAACATGAAAGCGGTCCAAACCCTCCCGTCAGCGTCCATGACAGGGAGGCCAATACAAAATCCAATTTTCAGGTGTCCTTCGGCCCGTGGGCAAAAGCAAGGGCGTTTGGTGGGAATACAGGACACTCCCCTCGTAACTTGGCTTTCTGTAGTCCATTTTAGTAGGAACCCTCCCCAAAAAAAGGGGTGAGACTGAGCACCTAGCTGGGGGACACTCATTTCCTAACTCGAGCATCGCTGGTCCGTGCTCCAACAAACCCCTCCAGCGTGCCTGGCTCAGGTTGGGGCGGTTGGGGCGCTTCTGGCGCCCTGTGGGGCGGTCTCGGCGAAGGGCCTGGCGCCATACGACCGTGTTCTGGATGTGATCGAGTCCGTTGAAGTAACTCAACAATCTCTTCCAATCTCTTCCATTTGGTTAAGACCCCTGGGAAAAAAATAAAAATGTTTCCAGTAGTGATAGATTCCCTTTAAAACCAACGGGGGAACATCAAACACAAACTTAAGCAAATGGAAGATCTCCGAACCATACCTACCATATCCTCAAAATAAACTCGCCTACGTGCTTGATTTTGAGGATTATGAGCTAAAAAGTCAGTTTGGAAGATTGCACAACCTCAAGGAAAGCAACCATGTGAAATGGTCCCCTGCTTTTTCGAGCATAATCGCATGACACACAAATTGCATGTACATATGTGTATATAGTGTATAATATATATATAGTATGATTTCTCAAAGGCTGCTTAAAAGGACTTAGGAACTTCCGTAGTGCTCGAACTATTTAATTGAGCTCTCGCACGCTAAGAAAAGCATACGAACAGAATTGAAAGGAGCAAAAACTGTGGCCTTGTGCGTGAATTCCACTCTTCGGCATGTGCGGGAGCCACCTCGTCGTCAAGGCAGTCTTGCAGCGGGCTCGGCACAGATCGGTTGGCGTGGACCCACGCACTGCTTCTCAACTAACCCTCTCTGCGCGCTTTGGGTGGGTCGGCCCTCAAAAACTCGTGGTCTTTGGTGACTTTCACTTCGCTCGAGTGACCTTCTGCGGGCTTTTGCCGGGTCAACCTCAAAAAGCTCATGTTGCCATTTGCCCTTTTCAGCTTGCGCAAGTATCAACAGGCACACCCTCTGCGGACTTCCGGCGTGTCGAGGTTTGACAACTTGTGCTTTCTAACGTTTTTTTCATGCTAGCTATCTATCCAGCTAGTTTAGCTATATATCTGTCTACGCTCATTAGCCCACCAGCAAACCGGATAAAGCGAGCTAGCTAAATAGTCAATTCAGCAATCAGCTCACTACCTATACATAGCCAGCCAATTTGCCAATAGCCAGCCAAATAGCTATCCTCCGAACTGTGTTTGTCATTTTAAAGTAGAAGAAGCGCTTCTCCGGCCTTTTCTGCAAAGAAGACTGTCACAGCTAGACCTCGATGGCGCTACCGTACATGCAGCCAAACGCTTGGAATGTGAGCGCATGCTGATGACCCCTGCAAGCAACAACGCTAGAGCAAAAGAGGCATTTGCATCCCCCAGCTTCAGAGCATAAGCGAGCTGCCGCGTGGTACTCAAGGCCCTCACACGCCGTGCCCAAAGATGTCCTGGAAGCAAATGCGTTGAAAGGAACCAAGCCTCTTCACATGCTTGGCGCCCAAAGATTTGAAAGCAAATTTGTTTCCTCTTGCTTTCCTGTGCCTGACACGTGTGCCGTATCGGGCCGCCCTCAAGTCACACCCCAAAGTCACTCCACACACAGGCCATGGTCCATGGGTCTTTCGGGTGTAAAGGTCCAGTGTTTCTTTTGTCCGAAGTCAAGGGAAGCGTTTACCATAGAAAGGGTCATTTGTGTGGTCAGAAAATGGGCTAACCCCTAAATGGCTTGCCCCGTTTTTTTCGAAATACCTCAGAAGTGGTTGGTGGACAGGAATCTCCACCGAATTTTGAAGTCCACCAAAGATTTCCCCAATCAAAAATACATGCCCAAATTGTCGCCAGCATAGGTGGCCTTTTGGAAAAAAGATGGGCCTGGATGGAACAAACCCCATCCAAACTAGGAATCGTCCTCTATTTGTTGAGCAAACCAACCAAAAAGGACACCCAACTTGTTGCCACCAAAGGATCCCTATTAAAAAAAAAAAAAAAAAAAACATGAGATATATATATATATAGACAGACATGCCCAACTTGTCGCCAGTCTCTCCTCGCGCCCCTGGCACCCGAGTTTGGCCCTCCAGGACTCCAGGCCCTCGCCTGGAGGTTTGGCGCCTCCGGTCCCCGGAGCGCGAGCCGGGCCTGGGATCCGGCGAGGGATCGAGGCGACGGGAGACCTCCGGGCGCTGTTTCCCCCCAAAGATTTTAAACAAAATGAAGTCATGTTTCACTTGCCTCACTTGGGGGGAAAAAAAAGGAGAGAGTCATGTACGTCCCCCCTGAGTTTTTTTTTATTTCCCCGGCTCAGTTGCTGAGTGGATGGCCCTGAAACAGTCCCTTAACTTTAGACTTTTACCACTAAAATTTGGGCTTCCCGAAAAGTGTAAAGTTCATGAACTCAGGAAGTGAGTACAGCCGAGTAAGGCTACCAGTGTCGACAAAGCAACGAAGACGTGTCGAGAGTCGCAACAAACACCGGCTTTCTGCAGCCTGCCTTTGTGATTGCGAGCTTCTAATAATTCTAATATCGTCTCTTTTCCCAACGGCATTGCAATTTTAGTGGGGAAGCGCAAAGTTGTGGATGTGCGGGCTTTGCTGTCAAGTTCATGGAGGTTCAGACAGCTTTTGTTTCGATGTGTGCTGCTTGACGCTATCTTTAGTTGGGTTCTGTTGTGCACTTTGGGCACTGAGTGCCAGATTGTCACTGAAACTGGGCTCGAAGCATGAAGGCCACACACTTTGAAAACAAGTTGAAACACGCCAATCAACTTGAAACATACCGGCAACATGAGTCGCATGTCCCCTTGCAATGGATCAAACTTTGCATGTGAAACTCTACATGCAACTGGCCACATCTGCCTGCTTTCAGAAGGGCAAGCCGAGCCCGAGCCTTGGGGCTGTTACTTGCGAATATGTTATTATTATTTTTTCCGGACCGAAGGCAATCAGAGACGTCACCGAATACCTGGCTACCTGCATGTGTGCGAACGTTGGGATAAGTTTGACCAGACATCTGCCAACGCCCTCATATCCTTCAATACGGTGGTACTACGGTCTAGAGAATTGGATTCGGGCTAAGCCGGTTGCTTCAAAACCATGCTAAGACGGGAGGATCAAAGAAAAAACAATTGTCAATCATCCAGCCGCTGTTATCTCCATGCCCAGAAATCTTGCCACAACAGGACTAACCCCTTCCTGACAAACAAATAACCCTCCCCCCACCTGAATAACTATATTTATATATTTACCTGTGGACCAAACAATATACATATATATATATATATACTGCTGTAGTAGGGTCAATCATCTCTGCCCCAGAAAAGTTCCGCGGTCCTCGTCCAGATGGGGTCCCCACTTTCCGGGCTGAAGCAAGGGAGTTGCGCTGGTTTCGAGTTGGTGTAAAACTGGTTTAGTCTCGGTTTAGTGTTGGCTTTGTATTGGTTTAGTACTGGTTCTAACATGCTCTCTAAGTCTGGAGTTGGGGTCGGCGGGAAACTTTCTCCTTCGGAATGAGCTTCGTTTTGGCTAAGTTTGACACGAAGATTTGGAGTCTGGGACAAATGCCATATTTATGTTGAGAGGAGAGGCGAAATTGATAACGCTCGATCTGAAAGACCCATACTCACAATGTTTGTCGAACATCGTATCTTACCAAAAGGCCCATGAGCATGCCTAAGAAACCCCACGTAAAGTGTCGCGACTCTTGCACACGTGCCTCTGCTCGCGTGCGTGGGGTGGGATGCGCTCGCATCATGCATTTCCTGCAGGGCCGATCGTTTGCCGAAAGCTGGGGTGGTATTGTACCCCTGCATTGTATGCTTGCCTTTTTGCGTTAGTAGGGACGGGTTTGCACCTGTCCAGAAGGTTGCCAGACCAAACATCCTGTGGGGGGCCTATTTTCATAGCGGACTCGGTTTCCTTTGATCGGCAAGCAAGCGGGAATCCCTTCGGGCAGAGCTGGCACCGGCGACAACCTTAAGCTCCCATCTGATGCCTTCTTCGCATGTCACAAACCAATGCGGTAAATCATTCCGCCCATGCAAGAGCGTAAAGTGGATTCACACATTCAACTTGTTGTACAAAAAGAGAGAGAGAGAGAGAGAGAGAGAGAGAGAGTCGTGGTCATAAAAGGCTGTGTAGGGCTCTAGGAAGACCCGCTCAATGACAGAAGGAACCGTTAAATAAGTTGCCAACCAGCTCCCGAGGCTCGCTATGCACTCTGATACCCCTGGATTGGAGGTGAAATTCCACCAGAAGTGATCCAAATCCATTCAAATCCCCTCAACAACCCCCCCCATAAGTCAAGGGTTGAATCCTAGGTCCTAGCTTCCGCCCTTGCGATTGAACACCGCTTGCTGCTTGGCCAGAATTGGTTAAACAACTCGGCCCAAAGTGAGACGGGCGCATTCAGGCGTCAATTTCTTGTCTGTTTTGGAGAAAGGGGAACGATTGGGCCTCTTGCCCGGACATGGTTCAACTACACACTTAGAGGATACTTTGTCAATCAGTTGTTCATTTTGTCCAGCAAGATGCGCCAGGCAAAGCCAGCGCAAAAAGACAAATTGCCAGGTTGCTCATCCATGTGCTCGACAAAAGTCCGAAGACATCCCTGGAATCCCCGAGAATGAATACATTCACCAACCACCGTGCAGGGCATTCCCGCCCCTTCCAGGTATACCAAGTCCTGCTGATTCATCCGAAGCTAACACTGGCAAGGGACGACCTGAGGACCTGCGGCCTTTCAACGGAGCCTTTCTGCAACACACGACCTGGCAAAGGTCTGAGGGATATAGAGGCTGCATTGCGAGTGTTTCCATCTGAACACCCTCAACACCCTCCGAAGAGTTGCCTTTTGGTCACGGGGCATGGCAATTGTTTGGTCCGCAGCCCTGAACTGGACCAATTCGCACCTCTCCGAACCCATGCTGGGACCTTCTTCCGGGATTCCCTAACTAATTGTCATATGTGTCCGTGTCTTTTCTGAAAATTCACCTTGTTTGGTGGTTGTAACGGGCAACCACAAGGAAAACCACCAATTTTGTCCATCCATCCACCCACCCTCAATCCCCATCCATCCACCCAGTCAGCCATCCATCCCTCCCTCCCCCCCTCCCTCCCTCCCTCCCCCCCTCCCTCCCTCCCCCCCTCCCTCCCTGCCCCCCCTCCCTCCCTCCCTCCCTCCCCCCCTCCCTCCCTCCCTCCCTCCCTCCCTCCCTCCCTCCCTCCCTCCCTCCCTCCCCTCCCTGCCCCCCTCCCTCCCTCCCTCCCTCCCTCCCTCCCTCCCTCCCTCCCTCCCTCCCTCCCTCCCTCCCTCCCTCCCTCCCTCCCTCCCTCCCTCCCTCCCTCCCTCCCTCCCTCCCTCCCTCCCTCCCTCCCTCCCTCCCTCCCTCCCTCCCTCCCTCCCTCCCTCCCTCCCTCCCTCCCTCCCTCCCTCCCTCCACCAAAAAGGACGCGCGCCATGCGGCACTCCCAGCCCGACTCGCCGCGACTCGCCGCTTCGCCGCGACTCGCCGAATCGCGGAATCGCCTTGAGCTTCTGGGCCTCCGCCGGCGTCTTGGGGCACTCGGAGCTGAGGCGGCGGCTGGACGGGTTGCTGCGAATTGGGACCTTCACATGGCTGTCAGGGGGAAAATCCCCTATTTTAAAACCAACAGAGGTTTTTTTTTAAATACTCTTAAGCAAATGGAAGTCAAGGGCTGTCAGTCAAAAATAGGAATCCCCAGAATGGGGTGCCCTGAATGGAAACATGGACTAAAACCTGCGGTCCATATCCTGGTGGTTTAATGTTGACCCATACCCACATGAAACCAAAAGGGGTGGGTGGGTCAATCACAAGCATTCTTAGTTGGCCTTGGAAATGTGGCATGTTCGAAGAAACAATTGCAAACTCGCCTTTTCCTGAAGCCTTGGAAATGGCGGGACACTGAGAGGTCCAAAGGTTGAAGATTTGACACCCTGTGGCAGGGTTGGACATTTTGGGGGCAAACCTTGTGTGAGCCCATCAGACACGAACTGGCCCTGCACTCACCAAGCTTGAAATTCAAGCCTCGTATACGCAATGTGTATATATATACAGTCGTATTGTACATACGAATTATCTATGTTATATGTCATTGTTCTTAGTATTATCATCAACCGTATGTTGATTATGTATATGTATATATATAAATATATTATGTACAAACTCAGGTCTGTCAGCGCTGCAGGATGTACCCCCCCCCTTCCTTGCTATGATTGCTTTGTCGAGGTCAGTCGGCACGTCTCTGTCCCAAATGCAAAGGATGGGTGAGCAAAAGGTCGATCCCACACCAAAGTGGACATCACACAAGTGGTATACATGATAGTCGTCCATTTGCTTCAGGTGCCACGCCAAAAGCAAATTCCGAGCATTTCTCAAACAACACAACTTTGAAGGCCTTGGTTCCAGTGCCTTTTTGCACGTCAGTTGCATGGACAAAAGAAACACACCCACACACACACACATGATGCCAAAGCGGCATCAACGCGTTAGTCCTCAACCAGGGCTCTCAAAAATGGATTCCACTTCTGTGATACAAGGGCTTCCCAAAGACGTTCAACCCCCCACAAGGGGAGAGAATCCTTGCATCACAGTGGTTGGATAAACCCAGATTGATGCACCACCACCCTGCTAACCAGGGCTGCGGGGAATAACCGCTCATGTAAATCAACAGAAAGAGCTTCCCAAAGACCAATTTGACCATAGAAACGGGGATTCCCTTGTATCACAGAAGTGGGTGGATAAACCCCGAGTGATCCACCACAACCCTGCTCACCCTACCCTTCCAAAAGACACACAAATTGAATAGTCCTTGTTTTAATGGTCAAGGCCGTAAGCAACCCCGATTGATCCACCACAACCCTGTTAACCTACCCTTCCAAAGGCCATACAACAACAACAAATGAATATGCCTTGTTTTAATGGTCGAGGCCGTAAGCATCGTCGAAAGCACTGGGTGTTTTCAAAAAGATCTGATTTCCCAGCCGCTTTGATTGAAGCGCCTCCAGCCCATAGCGCCGCCCACAAAGTGCTCCTTCGCAGCGCTGCACTGCTCCTCCGTCAAACCTTTGTTGACCTCGCGGCACCGGGCTCCATGTCGAGGTGTTTGTCGGATCCATGAGGTTGTAAAATGCCATTAATATGATGAGGTGTATGTCTTAGCTTCATCCAAGACTTTGTAAAATACCACGATAATTCCTGCGCCTACGTGCGAGTGTGCGAGTAGTGCGTGCGAGCGTGCTAGTGGACTGTGGACGAGTGACTCGCAAACTGGCGTGCCCTTCTCGCACAGTTTCACTCGCAAGTTTCGCGAGTGCTCGCGCTCGTCAAACAAGCCACTCGTATATACATACACTATTTGGAACATGTGCCTGAAAAGCTGTTTACAACCTGTTGACACCAGCCAATGTATATCCCACAAAATGGTAGAAAAGGGTAAGCTACCCAAGCTTCGCGGGGAAGCTACATGCTGCGCGAGGAAGCTACCCAAGGAGGCTGCCACCTGGGTCTGAGCGCAGTGACAACATATTCAAGGATGACAGGGTATGGCATTGGATCACTTCGCAAAGGGAAATCTCTGAAGCCGGTCCGAAGGCAGTATCTTGGTCCTCCAGTAGAGAGGTTAGAATAAGGGTACCAACTCTATTTTAGTAGGGGAACCCTCCCCCCAAAAGGGTAAAGGGGCACTACTAATAAAACCTAGGTATTTAGGAAGGCTACAGGCCTGCATGGCAAAACGGAAACCCGTTGGGACATCTGAGCAGGATTTTCCAGCTGTCCAAGTAGACAATCTCGTTTCAACTTTCTGAAGCTTTCAGCTGACTCGGGCAAAGAACCTCGCTACATCATCAAATAAATCAACATATTCATATTGCTACATACATGCACACCATGAGGCAACGACAATGTGTCCCCTTCCCTAAACAGGCATGGGGACATCAGGGGGGTCCATGAATTGTGATAGGCTGCGTACCAAACAGTTCTCAGTTGCTTGTTGTCACCAACCGCATACTACATTGGAGGAGCAGGGAGGGGCAACATAGCAAGACCCTGCTTCGATCCTGAACCGCTTTCAAAGGGTGCACATGACACCTCTAGGATTCCAAAGCGGAACATATGGCGGTGGGTCAAAATCAGGTACCCAACATGGAACATCCAAGGACTAAAACCTCCGGTCCCCCGTTTTTTTTGGTTTTTGACACATACCCATATGGGTTCCGTCGATCAGATTTGCACGATTTTCGGGGGAAAAAGCAAAAACAATGTCAGACTGAAGCACTTCAAATGGCAAAGTCGAGCGTCTCAAGATCCATCCGTCCGCAAGCCACCGACCCGTGGGCTCAAGAGAGATGTACTTCAAGCAAATTAGAGTCGTGCTGCGTCCTCCTCTTTGGCTGTCCAGCGATGTGTGGGTATTCAGCATATGCTTTCTGAAACAGAGTCCATCTACTCCTGTCACGCAGGCCCTGCTGTGGCACGTGCATTTTTGCTTTTAGTGGCCGTCCTTGTGCACGCGGCGAGGGCTAGAGGATTGCTAGGGCCAGGGGTATCGCCAGGGGGTAAGCTTCACCGTGGCCGCCAGGTCGGCGAAATCGCCAGCTCTTCCCTGTCGCAGCTGGACATTTTGACCTCAGTCTTGGCGGCACAGGTGACCGGCGTTCCCACGCTACCGGTCGAAGGCAAAGACACCGCTTTCTAGGCATGACTCAAGCCTGGAGGCAGAGCTTAAGGCTGTGGCATACTCAGAATCGATCGCAGTCTTCCCCTGTGGGGCATGAACTTGCCCGGTTTGAGATTGAATCTGCCCCCTTTCCCGAAGTGCTGTTTGGTACCAGCTTGAGGTTGGGTGTGCCAAACCCTGCTGGCTCACCTTCACCAGTTGAGTACCTCCAAGTCTGGGGCCCTGCCTTCAGTGGCTTTCTTTCCAGGGGAGGAAGTACGTCCGGGGCAAAGAACCCACCCATTCGGGGCACACCTCGGGTAGATTGCCCCTTTCCAATTCGGGAGCTTTGCTCGAAACGCGTTGGTTGGACATTTACCGGCAAGGTTTTCAAAGCTAGCCACTTGGGAGAAAAAACAAAACGATGATTCGCCCGGTGCCTGTCCAGGCCACCTTAGCAGCGGCTACTCCGTGAACCAGTAGAGACATGTTGAGAGACATGCAGAGATTCGCATGGTCCAGAACAACAGAAGGAAGCCAACCACTGTGAGAATTATTATGTACCTTGCAGGGGTCCATGGAAAAGGGCACCCTTGGGGGCGCTTCGTTCTAGGGGCCCCCAGCTTTAAGCATCAAACCTCCACTTGTTGAAAGACCCTTTGGTTTCCGTAAGCAACAACCCCAGGCCCGCCGCAAAACGTCACTCCCATTCCCAAGCCTGCATGCAGCAGGGCGTCATCCCCGCCGCATAGCCGAAGCGGAAGCAGCAGCTGTGGGCCTCGGGGAGGTCCCATTATGCCCATGGTTGGATACGGTTTTTCAGGGCGACCAACAGGAGGTCTCCTCTGAATGGTGTTTTTTCTAGGAAATACCCAGTACCAACCCAACGGACCCAGCGCCAGCTGAGCAGCCTTCCTTTTTTAGCGGCCCACGGAAAAGCGTATCCTTTTCTAGCTTGCGCGATGTGAACTGGTCAGGTTGTCAACAGGATTCTTTGCTTGAATGGTCAAAGGAACTCTCTTCCAAGGCTGGGGATCAATTGGGATTGGCCAGCCTTCCATTCTGATCATCCCAGTGCAAGTGATAGCCAATCTGCGACCTACCTGGAGCCATCCTAGAGCCGATATTTGTTTGCAACCCAGAACCAACACCTCCCTGCAAAATTATCCTTCACCATGGCAATCGATCCTGAAAAGCATCTATCAAGCTGCCATATGCATGATGGACCATATTCCCGAGCCGACCCATCGCCAACTCGAGCAGCTTGAACATAGATGGGCGCTTCATTTGCTTCCTCTTTTGACAGGCGAGCAGATGCAGTGCAGGAATCCCGTGGTACCTTGATTCACCCACACGTGTTTCTCCCTGGGGTGCTCTGGCTCTTGAGTTTGGAGCTAGGTCTGTCGTTGCTCACTCTCAAAACATGTTGCTTCGCCTCAGCCATGGTGATCCATAGCAGCAAAGCGGACGCCATAGCGAACATCATACACAAAGAAGCCGGCTTCAGAAAGTTGCTAGTTCAATGCTTCTGGGAGAGCATCCAGGCTCTCGTGGTTCTCCGTATCCGGGTCCTAGTTGGCTTCTGGAAGAGGTGCTGAACCAGTACCGCGACTCTCTTTGGGCTGCGCAAACCATGCATGTGGTCCGGTGCTCATGAAAGATCTTCCCCGACATGGAGGGACTTGAAAGGGGGCATGGATTTGCAACAGCGCATTGTCTCCACGAGGTTCACCATGTGAAACTGACCTTGACAACTCCCACATAAGTGAAGATCATGAACGTAGCTCAAACGAAAAACCAAAGGAAACCACCCACCCACCCATGTTTTGACAACTCCCACATAGGTCAACATCATTAACATAGCTCAAAGGCAAACCAACCGGAACCACCCACCCATGTTTCTAGACGAGAAGGATTGCCGGGGGGGGGGGGGGGTGAAAGAGAAACCAGGGGCGTCGAAGGGGCCGCAGTCTCTATGACTCAGCTGGGAGCCGAAAGGGGCCGCACGGCGAGTGAGCCGATGCAACAATCCCCAAAACGCAATGGGCCTCAAAGGGAAGTGTCAGCTTCCATGATTGTTGGAGGGATGGATACCCTGTTGTTTCCCTTTTGGGAAATCACTTTTAAATATCTAAATATCTTGAGCTCGTGAATTAGCACCCAGAGGTGGCAAGAAGGTGCAAGCACATCAATGCCCAACACATCTACAAATAAGTCCAGAAGAAGATCACTCCCGGCCAGCATCTGCTTGTTTCACTGGTATTGCACTTGTTCTGTAGCGATCTGTCGAATGTAAGAAAACGTAAGGAGTATTCGAGCTGCACTTCCTTTGATTCCTTAGGCCTGGACCCCTTGTGTAAAAACCTTGAAAAAGAGTCCGTTTCATTCCCTGAGAAAAGGTTGTCAAAGGGTAAACGCTGTCAACCTTTAGATTCAGAGGTCGAAATCCCCTAGCGCTGCTTCGTATTAATTATTCCTTTCAAAGATGCCCTTGGGTGTGCTTGCGACTGCTCTAGGACCTTGTGGGAGCTGGAGAGGGTTGGGATCATGGTGATGCGCTTTCCTTTCCAGTTGGGACTCCTTAAAAACGGTTGCTGCACTTGTTCACGAAGGCGAGGGGATCAAAAGTACCTTTGTGGGTGCAACCATTGTTTTACACATGGTATTTACCGGTGACTCTGGTTGAGGTGTCTAAGCAAAGTTTGCCACCTGCGCTGTTCTCAGATCCCCTAAAGTGACGAACTTTTGGTGGGTTAAATGGAAACCCCCACTAAACACTAAAAGGCCACAAGGCTAAGGAACCGGATGGCTGGGAGCCACCAAGTGGTCAGGTAAACCCTGAACTTACTTCAGCTGAGCACACGCCTGCCTCTTTGGCCCGGAGCTAAAGTGGTGCCTAAGATGGAAGTCGCAACTCACCTCGGGAACAACATCCAGGTCCTCCAGTGGACAGTGCAAAGGTTAGAATAAGTTGGTGCCTGATGTTTTTTCAGGACGTCTATTTGAGTAGGGGAACCCCTCCCAAAAAAGTTGTAAAAGGGGTACCAACTTTTTGTTTCGGTAGTCTCTTTTAGTAGTTTATTTGCAAATTGGCTGTGGCTCAAAAATTGGGACCCGAAATGGAGCCCGGTAATGGAACCAAGCGCGCTAAAACTTGGGGTCCCCGTGTGGTTTAGTTTGGACCCATGCCTTTAGTAGAACCCTCCCAACCAAAAAAGGAGAGAAATTTGGCACCTAGCCTAGACATTCCCCGGTTTGAAGCTTGAAAGCTGCTTCCTTTGGGCTTTCCGGGCCGGAACTGATGTCACATTCTTTCTTTGGTTGCGCCATCATCGGGAAGAATCTGATTCCAAGCGAATTGAAACTATTTTCAAAATTTACATTAATATTCCCCAGTCTATTTTTCATAAAATACAAATGAATCGGGCCCAGTGCCCAGCAACTGAATCTCTCTGACACTTCCCAAGGGCGACGCTGAAAGCACGCAATAGACACCACGCCTTCGGTAGGGGAAATCTATCATCTCCGTACTGTAAGCATCCACAAAACTGGGCTATCCTCAGACCTTCCGCTGAAAGCTTAACTTTTAATGTGTTAAATGGAAACCCCCACTAAACACTCAAAGGCTAAAAAGCTAGGGGGATGGCTGGGAGCCACCAAGAAAGCACCAGAAAATCACAAGTGACCTGGCGCGCCTTCACCAATGGCTCAAGGGTTGGATTTACCAAGCGAAACAGGTCAATTCGCAGCTCGTTGCAAAGCTCCCGGTTGAGTTGCGTCGCGGCAGCTCTCTGCACCATGCCACGTCGAGAAAGGAAAGCCCCAATTCGACACTGGGAATCCCCCGCAAAGGGGAATCCCCAATCATCCCTACCCCGTACTGGAAATCATAGACCCATAAACTATCGTTCTATTCTTAATTGGGGATGCAAATCCCGAAAAACCGGCAATAACAGGCAGACACGCAGGGTTCCACTTTGGGATTCTGGGGAAGTCACCATGTAATCAATTGGTAAACTTGTCCTTTCGCAACAAGTGGGGCCCCGAAGTGGGAAAAGGCTTTCTTCAAAGGAAACACTGAGACTGAACTAAACAACCGCTACCCCCAATGTCCAACGATTGCTGATTGAAAAGAAACCGGCCTCAACATGTTCAGTACCGAGGTTGGTCTTTGATCATTTGGCGGGGAAAGGAAGGGGTCAATCTAAACTAGGGTGAGACCAATGAGCAAACTTATTGAAGGAGGATCCAACCTGGCAAAATGTACTAATCCCGGCAAGGTGGGCCCCGTTTAGTAAGGAATTCAAATTCTCACATTGCGGGGGGGGGGGGGGGGGTCCTGTGACTAGAAGGGTCCTCCGGATGTCTTGCTCCACATTCTTAAGGTCGAAACTATCACCCAACCTACACAAAACCAGCCAGGTCCTCCAGTAGGTTTCAATAAAATTACCCTTTCTTCTGTAGTCTATCTTAGTAGGGGAACCCTCCCCCCAAAAAGGGTACAAGGGCACTACTGAGGGACCTAGCCAGGTTTGGCAAGCCCAACAATGGCAGGTCACCACAGGATGCTGAACATTCTGCGCGGGTCCATAGTGATGCTTTCAACATGCCCAAGGTGGCAAGTGTCACCACTTCTGTCATACCAGTGGAAGCTCTCTTCACTTAGAAAAGGCATTGAAAGTGGGAAAAGCAACTCATTTCCATAACCCTGCCTTGAGCTAGTAGCAATGGGATCCACCCCAACAGTACGTTTGCAGTCTGAGAACCCCCAACAAGATATGTCAAACAGAAAAATCCGCTACAAGCACCTCTATGACCCCCGGGAAAAAATGGGCGCCGTCCCAAAGTGGAACCCAAACGGTATTCCGTGGATCGTGCGATCTCCGGAGCAGGCTACTCTCAGATTGGAACTGTGCCATGTGGAGGCGCACGGGCTGCGGGTGGCTGATGTGGGAATGATTAGTGGTTGACCCTTTGGTGGATATGCCGAATGTCCAATGACCACTCAATAGGATCTTCATATAATATATATTGAAGCAGCCCACTTCCAACCAAAGCAATTACCAAGTCAGTTCGTAAGGGCCGAACATCTGAGCAAGTCCAGAAACTTTGGAAGTACGGCGGCTAGGCCGTGACTGCAAGTGAATCAAACAAGTCAAACACAGATGCGGCTTCAGAAGCGAAAGGACACCAACCAGCTTCAGGGTACCCTGATGAAACTGGGCTGTCCTCAGATCCCCCGCTGAAAGTTTGACTTTTAATTGGTTTAATGGACACCCCCACTAAACACTAAAAAGCCAAAAAGCTAAGGAACCAGATGGCTGGGAGCCATTGAAAGAAACGTCCGAATTCAACTGGATCATCAGGCTCGGGGCTGTTGGTTCACTAGCGGTCGTGGACAGGTCAGACGGATTAGTCATTAGAAATGGTTCATGGTTCAAATGATTCGGCTTATCCACTGAGTTCCGCGTGACTGCGCGCTCCAATCTGGACGAGTACCCTACTTCGTACATGGAGACACTCCCTCGGGCAGTCCCGCACGGAAATGGCAGTCGAAATGTATACTGTATAAATGCATGTATGATGTGCATCTATATGTCTAAAATCATGTTCTGGGGCCGCTTTGGGGTCTAAGGAGACTACTTGCCATCTCATTTGGCGGTAGGATGCGATAGGCAGTTAAACATCTTCAAGAAGAACAAACTGCTTGTTTCCTCCAAATGATCTTGGCTCCCTCAGTAGGAATAATTAGACTGGTTTGTCTAAAATATCCACTAGGGTCTATCACCATCCCTTAGCCATCCTCGGAGCGTGTATTTCCTTTGCAAAGTGGCCCAGCTCCCTTTCTTACCGAGGACACGAAAGAGCCAACTTGTTTGTCCCATTCTTCTGTTCTGTTTTTTGTTGCTGTTCCTTTCTAGAGTTGTTCTTTTTCGGGGGGGCTTGAACTGGATGGTGTCCTCTCGATCACGCTTCAAACCCAAAAGATGTGGGCCCCAAAGCTCTCCCCGCTGGCAGTCATTCGCCAGTCAAGCGATTAATCCACAAACGGGCGGTTGCTTGGTCTTGTTTGTTATGTCCCAGGAGGCAAGTCCTGAAGTTCCAGCCCTTTGGCCAACTGACTTGTGTCTGATCAGAGGCAAAATATTTTGTCCACTTCCTTCATGCGATTTGGAGCAACTGCAAGGCACTCCTTGCGGTCGTTGGGGAGGACTCCCTGAGAATCTCCGACTGAACCGCTCCGCGTAAATGAAAATCCAACTCCTACACGGCTCGGTCTTCTGATTCGGGCGCGTTTCATTTCGCTCGCAGAATGCGAATCGCTGCCAATTGAGGCGGTCTTCGGAAGTTCAACTTCTCACACCCGGACTGCACACAACAACAGAGTCGCAACACACCCGCAACTCGTGCAAGCTCATCTGTTCAAATTTGCTCTTCCTCTTGTGAAATTGGATTGCAACCTTCTCTCAATTCCTGAGAGAATGAGTCGAGATACTACAC